TTAAAATGATTTATGGGAACTAAGTATTCCCAAGAGTAAATGTTTTCACATTTAAAGAAGAAAGGAAATCTTGATTTCCAAAAGAGCCTTTGGGCTAGTTTTCAGTTAAAGATTAAATGTTTTCACATTTGAGCAAGAAAGGGAACGTCGATTCATAGAGAGCTTTTAAGCTAAGTTTTGAATAATTATCCCAAACCAAAGAAAGAAGTTATGTTTTTAAAAATATGAGCTGAGCATTTTGGGAGTAGTATTGAGCACCGATATGGGGACAAGTTTGAGTTCAGATAACTCGCGTCTCCATAAACCATGTAGCCATCATGGGTAGTAAATTATCATACTTTTTAGATGATTCCTTAAGTGCTTTTTAGCATAGACTAGTGGATCCACATAGTTAAGGCGTTCTATATGACGGCAAAGTATAGGATAGTTCTGGCAGCGTGGGCAAGTCGTTGTATCATCACTTAGGCTCATAGTGGTGGTTGTCGGTCAGAGAAACTCCCACATAAATTATATTACTTTATTATATGAGTAAAGTTGAGTTTGTTATTGCATTTTCTTTAACGAACTAAGCTGTTTTCCACTACTTTAAAAGTTGTCATTATATTGTATGTGTATTGTTGCCTTATATCGAGTTGAGTATCCAGAGTTTAGTACCCAGAGTCGAGTATCATATCTTTGAGTTGAGTATCTAATCTTTGAGTTGAGTTATCTTATTTTCTTAAGTTAAGTTGAGTTGAGTGAGTTGAGAAGAGGTAAGTATGTTTCTTTTTATCATGTTCAAGCTTATGTGTATGCTTTAGAAATCCCCTTACATGCTCGTACATTCCACGTACTGAGCCATTTGGCCTGCATCTTTTCATGATGCAGATCCAGGTATTCAGGATAATCAACAGGAGCTTCGTTGATACCACATGGAGTTCGAGTTAGCTATGGTGAGCCTCCTAGCTTCCGGAGGATTTCATTTACCTTTGAGTTATGTCAGTTGTTAGGATGTCGTGGGTCTTGTCCCGACGTCCATCTTTGTCATTTAGAGGCTTCATAGATAGACAGTAGAGTTTCAGAAGTCTGTTCATTTATTTTATTAAATATTTTAAAGACTTAAGTTTCCTTTTTTATGGCTAGTTGAATAATTTATTTTTATTCAGTGTTTCTCATTTGAGTTAAAGTTTTGTAATTGAGTTTCATGAATTTTTATTTTGTTTTAAGCTTTGTATGCTTGAGTTAGTCTTCCGCTTGTAGTCAGCTAGGATGAGGGTTCGTTTGGGACCAACAATGGTTCTCGAGTGCCGGCCACGTCCAGGGTGTAGGCTCGAGTCGTGATATTTGGATTCTTGAACGATAATGTATCGGACAGAGTTGATTTGGGGGGAAAGTAGGGAATTTTGTAAAAAAAATTTAAAAAGTATGGAAATAATGAGAATATGTAAATTAATGTTGTGTACTTCAGTAATATTTCCGGAAAAAAAAACAAATAGGCTAAAATCCCAGACAGAAACAGCAGCAACACTGCAACTAAGAAAGAAAAAAAGGGTGAATTTGAGAGAGGGAAACGCAGCGGCTAACCAGCGGCATTAGTTTGGACAATAAGGTGTAATTTGGAGACAAAGGTAGATGAATAAGTTACGTAAATTGGCTGAAGTTGGGAGATTAAGCATCAGATTACCCTTGACCTGAATAATTAGAATATAGCAAGTTGATGGACAATCAGGAAGTCCAAAAGGGTTGGAAATAATATCCTTAGTCTATGAATTAGACGTAATGAGGAAACTAACTCGAGATTGCTATGAATGTGATTATAGATTGACCAAAGGAATTCGCACGAGGAATCGAGTGGCAAGCTTGGTAATTCGACAGGAGTACTGTGAGTAGTAATCTTACCACAATTTGTATTTCACAAATTTCATGATTTTTACTTGGTTTATAAAGTAAATGTGTTATCGACTGTTTTGAACTTGCATGTGGGACAAGTATTTTACTTATACTGAAAAGATTATTTGAGATGATTTCATTTTTATAAGATATGATTACCGTTATTGGAAGGGTTTTACACTTATTTGAGAAATGGTACTTTGACATGTGATTGTTATACATTGAAATAATATGATTTGATAAGACTTAAATGTTCTATTCGATTTTGAAATGCTTCTACGGATTACAAGAAAGGTATAAATGGGAGTAGACCTTGATGAACCCCATAGCTAACAGCGGGTTCGTTAGACCTGGTGCACCTTGTAGTTATAGATTACTGATAAAGCCCTTGCTAGTGGGAAGGTAGAACTAGCATACCGTTACCGATATTCCTCGAGTAGGGATCTACCGATATGAATACTTAACTCATTTATGAGGAGTTCACCGTTATTGGTTACTTCTTAAAGAGAAGGCCGCACTGATTACATGATCATCCTTGGAAACCTCCCAACTATAAGATTTGATATGAAAATGTTTTTAGAGTTTATTTATGAAAGTTCACATTGGTTTTGCTTACACGAGACAAATAAGATTGAATATTGTTACCGCTTCTGAAAGGACACTGATTTCATCATTTGATTATTATACTAGCATGTTTTCTGACTTGTCCCTCATTAAAATGGTTATGGTTAAGTATTATTACTCATTGAGCTAGCGTCTCACTCCTCGCTAATTGTTTTTATAAAGAATTCAGGTGGTATTGAAGAGGATTTCATTAACTAGAGTGTGATTTGGTAGCATCTGGTGAACCCCGCATTGCTTCGCGTGGCAAGAGAACTATTGATTTGGTATGGGTTTTTTTTAACTCTTAGAGTCGCTCCATTTGTCATTCTTTTATTTGGGTAATGATTATTCCTTCGTATTGTAGTCAAGTGACTAGCTTTGAACTTCTTTTTTGTATTTAGAGATGAAATTGGTATTATTGCGTGACAATTAGATCATCAATGGATATTAAGTTTTGGTTTATAGTTGTTACTATTTGTGTGGCGGATTTCTGAAATAGGGAAAATTCAGGATAGGCCTAAAAACAAAGAAAACTCTGCCCGGTTTTCTTTAGATTTATGTTAAGGCTTGCTTTGGGATTCTTTCCCCTTAGCGCCAAGTATCGCCTAAATTCTTTGATCCGGAGCATTTCCTTAATTGCTAAGTTTAATTGATATAGATAATAATACTCTTTCACCCCGAAAAGTAGGGAACAATCCACAAGTCGAAATCAGTTATATGAACCTGCGATATCCATTATACAAGATAGAACTTAAAGTTTGATTCTAAAGATAACAGACACGATGGAGAAAGAAAACAGATCATAATAAGTCTTCTATCCATGCAGTTGGCAAGTGTTCTACATTAGCTTCCACTTCCTGAAATACAATAGAACAAAACAAGTTAAGGTTGCATCTTTCAAAATTTTCGTAAAAACAGTGTATAGCACTACCAAAATAGCCACCTAGTTTAAGCAAAAGCAACAACATGGATGCGAGTGAATCATCATTTCTCATTGAAGCTCTAAGCATATCATTAGTGAAAAATCGATAGGATATGACCATATTTCCTCTTCTTCAATGGTCATTCTCAAATCCACTTTTCATCCCACCATCTTCTACAAGTCTATTGACGGTAATAATAAAGAAGAGCAAAGATACAGGGTCCCTTTGCTTTATCCCCTTCGAATTGACAGACTCTCTTCCAATAAGAACTTTTTGTTTCATGAACTATGATCATGTTATGCTAAAAGTAGGAAGGCCTTAGTAAGTTTACCATTTCAGTAGTAAAAGAAAATCTAATGAACAGTAATAATTTAATTACATACAGGGTGAATTAGAACTTCAGCAGCAGTACTTTAATGCTTTACATTCAATTCACCAAAAATGAATCCACCATGTATATTGTTAAAGATTTATTGCTTTAGAACACAAACACTATAATAGAGGACTATGCGCAATACACGTGTCCAGGAAATAGTATAATATAAGGAGAAATATGATGTTTTGTCCTATATTTAATAGAAAAAGAAGTGCAAAAAGAGCATATCAGCTAAACTAAGCAGAATTCTTACCGGATATCATTAGGGGATTAACAATGCTTTCTGCGTAGGTTTCTGCTGGATTGCATCCCTCAACATCAGCAGTGTGCTCTAGTCTTTTAGTTGAACCATCAAATATCATGATTAATCCTGGGAGCGAAAGTAAAATGTCACCCTTTTCTGACTGGCTAAGGTGTATAGAAAATGTGAAAATGAGTGCAGAAAACATAACTAGCACAGTATTTTGAGGATATTCGATGGTGAACAGTTTCATCCATGATACACTGCAATCTTTCCAAATCCAGACATCAGAAGTCGCAGTACCTAGATAACATGTATACATCACAGAAAGGTCACTTCCCACAACTCCGAGTTTGAATTTGAATTTAGAATTAACTTCTCCACAACTGGGAAGTTCCAATCTTCCCCATGTCTCTTCTGCTACATCAAAAGAAATGATGTTGTACACATCGTAATTACCAATACGAGTAGATGCAGCCCAATAAATCTTCCCGTTAACAAATTTACCCGAATGATTTAGTAGAAAGACGCCCTGAAGCTCGTCATGGAGTATTGTCCAAGAATCAGTCCTCAAACTGTAAATGCTGATCACAGTCTTCATTTTGGACACATCATCATTGTAAGAATTACGATAATAATCCACAAATGCAGCTTTATAATCGTCACTAGACTCATCGTATCCAAAACCATATTTGTTATAGAAAGAGTTGCCCAATTTGGGATAAAGTACTTTCTTTGACTTTTTAATGGTGGGATTCCATATATATGTCTCCCTCGCATAATTGCACAGACAAATCAACCCATTAACAGAACCGACAAAGAAAACTTTTAAATTGGGAGAATCGATGAGAAGTAGCTCCTCAGCGATATGTTGTTTGTTAAAGAGGGGAGTGAGAGAACAAAACTTGTATTTTCCATTGATACCTGGAAACAGTACTAGTTGATCTGTTTTTAATTTGAGATGTGTCTTCACGAAATCAGGGCTAGAGATTAGTTGATGCCACGATTTAGAAACGGACTTACATTTCAAGAGAGACTTCAGAGGCAGCCTTAAGAGAATGTCTGTAAGGATTTCATTCGGGATTATGATTTCAGTTGTTGTAGAAAATGGAGTGAAAACGAAATCATACCCTGAAATGAATTTGATCAGAACGGTGTGAATCACCTGATGAATCCAATCGCGAAAAGAAAGAAACGAAAACATGGTCGGATGTTTTTCTGTGAAGTGAAACAGAGCAGTGAATTGTTGAAGCAGAGCAGAAGTGTCTTTGACATTAAAAAAAATACATGACAAGTAATTTGTTACACATATTTTCTTTGTGCGAATTAATGAAGTTTGACAATAACTTTTGTTTTTTTATACTGTATTTAGTATGAATATTAATTATACTCTCTGATTTTAATACTAAAATTGACCAATATTTTGTTCTGATTTCTTTTGAACTATTCTCAAAAATGAACACTTTTGAACTCTGTCAGATATTTATACAAAATCCTCTCATGCTGTGAGACTCAATCATGGCTTTAACTAATTTCATAATGCACCTTTAAGAGGTCGATCCAATCGTAAGATCAATACTGATGGATGTTCTCGTGGTAATATGGGAGTTAGCGGAGCAGGGGGGGTGGGGGGTCATCAGAAACCACAGGGGCATAAAAATTAACAAATTTGACAGAAACCATGGCGTTAATTCATGGAGCAAGCAAAACAGAATTTGTGTACAAAAGTAGAACTACAAGTCTGATACTAACAGATACCGTGGATCAAGCAAAAGAGAACATTGTTCAACATCAGCAAACAGATATGTCGAGGCTTCATAGTTTAGATCCATGCACTCAGCAGACAGCAGGTACGGATTAGTGTTCAACATTATCTTCCGCTTCCTGAAATTCAATAGTACAAAACAACCTAAGGTTGCATCGCACAAAATTTTCAAATGACTAGAAAAAACATGACAAAAATGTCCACCTAGTTTAAGCAAAAGCAACAGCATAGACACGAGCATATCATTTCTCAATGTAAAGGGATGGTTCAATCAACTGATTAGCAATGGCATCTAAGCAGCACTATGTTGAAACTTCAAACCTACTGCAACTCTAACTCACCACAATTTCCATATATACATATCGGTTCTGTTCCTTTTTTTTTGGGTATATGCACAGAATTTAATCCTCTGGATGCCTTTTGATAAAAGCAAACTTGAACAAAAAAAGTATATCAGGAATAATTCGCCAAGACGTTGTCAAGAGTGTTCATATATAGTTGGTTTTAAGGCTCAACTATTTACACCAAAGGTATAAAAGAAGGAAACTCTTCGAGATCAGAAAAGAAAATGAAAACAGAACTTTTCATACTTCAAGGTAGACCATCACACCACATCCTTCTGAAAGCACATCCTATTATCCCTTACCAACAATTTAACCGATAAAATAAAACCTGCTCATACAAATTACAACACAAAAGGAGTGAGGAAACTTAACGAAATGGAAGGAAAACTATGGGAGATCAAGGTTCAAATCTCTTCTCGTCTAAGCCTTGATGAGCATAGTAAACCAATACCTCATTTTGATTAAATCAGGTATTGGTTTGTAGACTTCCTTGAAAACAAAGTTAAACATAATGTAACCAAACAATAAAACACATACCTCATTTAACTAATGCCTATTTTTTCATAGCTTTCCTTTACTTCAGTATATAACACAGCCCTAAATACCATGAAACCTTAATATTCCACACCTTACAAGATCACAAACAACCAACACAAATCTTTCCTAGGCCTGTCATAGCAAAACCAAGTTGGTACAAATTTCTTGAAATGGAACCAAAAATACAAGGTTCAAAATTGGACTAGTCAGCGTGCACAGAACACCTATTGAATTCAAAGACCTACACAACGAAAAAAGCAGAGCTAGTCAACGTTCATTTACGTTGTGTCTACAAAACTGTTATGTGGAAAGACTTATTCCTAGAGTGGATCGATGATGTGCCTCGGAAATCATCAGTGTCCTGAAATTCCCAGAGTGTATTTCTCTCCCGGACTCCCCTCTGATATTGCAGCCTTTATTTCCAAGAACACTGGTCAAGATAATATATTGAAAAACAATATATTACCACCTAATAACTTTTTGTTTCACGAATTATGATATAATAAAGAGGAGAAACGCTTACAAGCTATACATGCAACTATGATGTATGGATTCGTAATTTCGTATATATTCAATGTTTTGTCACCGTACCAGAAAAAACATATCCTATATTTGACAAAAATACAAGTACAAAAGAGCATACCAGCTAAAGTAAGCAGAAATCTTACAAGTTATCGGCTAAATGATTGTGAGGTTTCATGGATATGACGTCCCTAGCCAGATATCGTTAGGGGATTAACAAGGCTTTCTACATAGATTTCTGTAGCGTTGTATCCCTCAACAGCAACAGTGCGCTTCAGTTGTCTGGTTGAACAATCATATATCATGATGGCTGATCGAAGAAAAAGAAAAAGTTCACCATTATTTTGCTGGGGAAATTGTATGGAGAATGTTGTAGTGGGTGGACAAGGCATATATAGCCAAGCATATCGGGCACAATTGATGGTGAACAATTTTGTCCAAGATACATTAACTCCGCAATGCTTCATAATCCACAGATCAGAGGTAGTACTATCTAGATGACAATCACAAATCAGAGAAAGATCACTTCCAACAACTCCCATCATGTAATTAGGACCGACTTTTCCACAATTGGGAAGCTCCAACGTTCCCCATGTCTCATCGGCCAAATCAAGAGAAGTGATGCACAAATTGCGACCACCATTCCCAGTGCCAATAGTCGAATTCCAATAAAGCTTCCCATTGACAAATTTACCCAAAGAATTTATCAGAAAGGTATCCTGAAGCTGGTCATGGAGTGTTCTCCAAGAATCATTCCTCAAACTGTAAATGTTGACCACAGTCCTCAGACTCGTATTGTTCCCACCAACATAGTAAAAATGAACAAATACAACTTTATAATCGTCATGTAACTCATCGTATCCAAACCCCCTTCGACAATCAAAGTAACCCGTAGCTTCTAACTTAGGTAATTCCCTTGACTTGCTAATTGTTGGGTTCCATAGAAATTTTTTGTCATCCTGATAGCACAGACAAATCAATCCATTGGCAGAACCCACAATCCAAGCAGAAATAAAAGGGATATCAACGGGAGAATCCACATCAAATAGCTCAACCAGTTGTTCATTGTAAAACACAGGAGGAACAGAACAAGACTTGAAATTTCTGTTTCTGCCTGAAAATATAACCCTATGAGTATGATTAACAGTTAACTTGAGATGGGTGTTGACAAAATTAGGGCTTGAAATTAGTTGATGCCATGATTTAGAAACGCACATGAATTCCAACAGAGATTTTGGGGGAAGCCTTAAGAGGATTTGTACGATGATTTCATGGGGAAGAACTGATACCGAATCACTCATTGGACTAGAAATGGAGTAATGGGAGGACTGTACAGCTTGTTGTAAGAAAGAAAGGCGGGATTGCCCTAGTTTCAGTGGTTGTTAATTTTTGCTTCTTTTTTCTTATCCAATTTTTTACTCCCACCCACCGCTTAATCTTTACTTGTACACTATACTATTTTAGCATGTTCATCAATATTGTCCAGTTTACAAAAACAATAAATAATTTACTATTTTACCCTTGTTATTTATTTTTTCAATGTTTAAATGACTTATATTTAATAGGGGTGATTTGATATAATTACCCGTATTATGTATACAACTATTGATTGATAGAGGAAGTATTTCGTGAAAAAGGAAAAAGGTCAAAATTACTCCTCAACTTTAATAATTTTATGAGAAAAGTGATTACAAGGGACAAAAAGTTTCAAAGCTAAGAAAAAGTGACAAAAGTCTTAATTAATGGATAAAGGGGTGATAATTCAAAGATTAGTGTAAATGATATTAATTTTAAAACTCTCAAGTTTTATTATTTACACAAAGACCCTATTTTCTCATACCGCCACTACCCCCTCCCCCTCCCCCTTTGTTGTCATCGTCATTCATATCCCTTCTACCATCGGTATAACCATCATCATGTCATCCACTACTATCGCCACCTCCTTCTACATCACCACCACGTTTTTGTCCTCCTCCACTAATACTATCATCTCCTCCTCTACCACCACTGTTTCCTCCTCCCCTTTCATCATCGCCACAACAACCATCACTTTTTCTTCTACTGTCAATCAACACCACCAGTTTTCTTCTCTACCAGACTACCACAATCATTATATCCTTCATCAGCTCCTCCTTTATCACATTTTTTGTTAAAAAAAATAAGCAATTATCGAAGTTGTTATAGCAACTATTGATGTTGTTGTAGCTGTTGTTGATGTTATTGTAGCAATTGTTACAACTATTGTAGCAACTATCATAATTGATGTAGTGCTGCCATAATTGTTGTAACAATTATCGTAATTGTTGCAACAATTATCATAGTTAATTGATTTTTTGCAGAATTTTTTTCAATGACTTCAATATTATTTTTTTGAAAATTCTCAAAATCAAAGCAAAACGGTTTGAAAATATAAAAGGAAGAAAAATGTGATTAAAAAAATGAACAATAGCAATGGCGACAGCGGTGACAACAATGGCGACGATAAAGAAGAAGAAGAAGATGGAAGAAGGGAGAAATAAAGAAGGTATAGGGAGGGAGAGAGACAAATCTGAAAAAAGAAAAGTAAAGTAACTGAAAGATTATAAGAAAGGGGGAATTTCAAATTTTGAAGTTTGAAATAAGAAGGAAGACTTTTTAAAATTTTAATATGTACCCCAAAGATTTTAATCGCTCTAAACAGGTCCATATTACATTTAATTATATTTGACCAAATCAAATCTTTGTTTAATTGAGAACTTTTTGTCACTTGTTACTCAATTTTCTCTAGTTTTATCTTCTGATATATTATTCGATCATTTATAACTCTGTCATTTTAAACTTATTACTCATACTCTTCAATTGGATGAAAAAATTTAAATCAAATGAAATTAATCAATTTCAATGAAAATTATATGATTCTAACTTCTAACCCGAACCCGACTCATCATACTAAATAAACTCGTATCAAATTAAATCTCCAAAACTTATCTCTCCTATTTTCTTAAAAAAACAATCTTCAACTATCTAAAATAGAACACATGGATATATCATATACCAATAAAGTATCAAAAAGAAAACTTCATCCCTTCAAGAAAAACACACAATCGTCTACAATACCACTCTGGTATGTATCATATATTGACATGATTTCATAAAAGCATATACATTTCTTAAAAAAAGATATTACTTAATCCTCAATGATACTCATATGATATATGTCATGTACTGATAAGGTATCATAGAATATTAATTAATTCATTAAAAAGATACTTATCAGTCCTCTATGATACCATGGTATATGTCATATACTGACAAGGTATCATAGATGACCGGTTCATTCCTTTAAAAAATGGAAAAGAGTTAAAATTGTCCTTAAATTATATGAAATGAAAAAACAATGTCCTCTATTTATAGTTTGGCCCAAAAATGCTCTTGTCATCAATACTTTGGTCCAAAAAAACACTTGCAGTTAATAGTTTGATCCAGAAATGCACTTATTGTTAAAAAAAAAATCACCGCACTTATTGTTACTAAAATGGGTTAAAAATTCTTTTTTCCGGTAAATATATTGTTTTTTTTCTTTTTAAGCATATCTTATTTATGATAAAAATATTGCTTTTAAAGAACTTTATTCTTGTTTTCTTTTTTTAAGATCACTTTAACTAATAAAATGTAGGAAATAATATTTTTCTTCTTAATATTATTTTATCAATTAAAATAAAATAATTTAATGTAACCTTTGATTATACATGTCGTATATATAAGATCATAGTAAACTCATCATAATGTTCTTTTAGATAACGATAAAAAAACAATTGATGTCATAGTTGCATAGATATAGTTATTAGACTGTGATACTTAGCAGAACTTGGGGTTTCATGTCCAAGCTTGCTGGTTTGATGTTTCGAAATATTCATTCTGGTAAATAAAACATTTACTTACCAAAAAAATGATAAAAAAAAAAAAAGGTTCATCTATGCCATCAATTAAAAGTTTGGCTCATTCATGTCATTTTTATTTGAGAAAAGGTTCATTTATGTCATTATTTGTTAATTGAAATGGTATATACTATATAGCATAGATGAACCTTTTCACAAAGTTTGATGGCATATTTGAGCCTTTTTCTTTTAAAAAAAAATGATTTAATTAATGACGTGGCCGAATCATAAAAATGATTTTACAAAATCTGAACTTTTTTCAATTAACAAATAATGGCATGGATGAGTCTTTTCTAAAAGGAAAATAGCATAGATGAGCCAAACTTTTAACGGATGGTATAGATAGGGCCTTTTGTCAAAATTTGATGGCATATTTGAGTCGTTTCCCTATAATAAAATAAGAAATATTTTTAATTTTAATTTTTTTTTTTAACTAAAGTAGGATAAGGATTTGCATATATATATATATTTGAAAAAGGATATATTTAACCATTAAGTAACATTTTTTTGACCAAACTATTAATTGTAGAATTTTTTATTCAATTTCACTATGTGTGAAGGCATTTTGACCCTTTTTCCGTAAAAAATCACTTTTCATTCTTTTATAATACTCTCGCATGATATTGTCACCTTGGCAAAATAAAAAAAAGTCCAGAATAAGTATCACTTAGAAATTCAAGACAAAAATTAGTATGTTTTTTCAACTATAACGTTCCTTATACTTTATCTTTTAATAGTGTTTAATTTTCAAAAACATTTATTAAATGCAGATTTTATATATATATATATATTTCTTAATGAACATGATTTTTGCTAAGGTAACACTTATTTTGAAATGAAAATTATTACTAAGAAAACATAATCTAGAAAACCCTTATGGAAAAATTATGTAATTATACGACTTAAGATAATATAATCTCTAAAAATTTCTACCATTTGAATTAATTACAAAAATCTTTTTTTTCCTTCTCTCTCTTAACATGTGTACACATCACTTCATATTTATCAGATACATTATAATTTTGTTTGTACACAATGTATCTAGTACAAATATTATTGTTGATACATAACGTCAATTATTTCAAATCAAAATCAATATAAATTTAATTTTATAGTTATGTATCTGATATTTAACTTATGTATCGTTTGTTATGTATCGAGCAAAGGAGCAATATATCTGTGAGTTCTAAAAAAATCGAAATTATTATAATTTGGGAAACTTTCAAAATAGAATATAATTAAAGCTCAAATTATTAGAATTTTTGTACTTCATACTATATTTATTTCAATTTATCATCCCAATCCTTATACTCCACAATTTCATCCAAACACACTTCGAAGCTCAGCCATAGTTGGTTTTGATCGTTGAAGCTTCGCCGTAGTGACAAAGCTTTCATAGTCCGAAGGCAGGCCAGCTGGTATTGCAAAAGCACGAATGAGTTCACAACGTTCGAATAAGCTACTCGACCGACTAAAGCTAAAAGGAGAAAGGGAAATGACTCTAGTTGTTGAGTACCCTGAGGAAGGTATCGGATCGACTTCTAGTTGTAGCGGATCTTACTTAAAGAGTTTTTTTGTAAGTTTCTTGGAAGCATCTTTATATATGGTACCCCTTAATTTCCACAACTCATTTGTATTCTAGTTTGAACTCCATTAAAATCTAGAATCTAATTAAATTCCACAAAAGGGTGGCTATGTATCTATGGATCATTTTGGTGTTTTAATCATTAGTGGTCGGTTTTATTGTGGACTTTGTAATGTGAATTTCTTGGTCTAGTTAAAGTCAAAAGTCAAACCATTATTTTATTCATTAAAAATAATAATGAAAAAATAAAGAGAAAAAAGGAACTTTCATTAGTGCATGGGCGGTCATAGAGGATAAGTCAAATGAGTTTATTTGAACTCAATAATTTTAATTAATTATAAATTAGTAAATAAAATGTGATGCTAAAATAAGTTCGAATTCCTAAAATTTAAATTACGTGTAATTGAATAACTTCGATTGTTACCAAAAAGTTGAGACAAGGATCTTGTTTTAGTTTTGTTTGGATTGTTATTACTTATTCATGTATTGTATCATAAATATTGATACTTTTAAGTAAATTGTTTTGATTATTGTATACCTTATTTTTATATTTGGTTGTATCATATTGTTGAAATTAATTGTTATGTAATGAAAAAAATGGTGTGATGATCGATTTGGTCTGATCACGTTATTATTTTCTTCTTCCTTTTTCTCATTTTTTTTAAATTTTATTTAATAATTTTACTGTCTTTTATCCTTTTTTTATATATAAAATATATCTCACGGAACCAATATAATTTAAAGTTCGAATATTATATTTGTCAAAACAATACAATACAATAGATACAAATTAGGGTAAACTCATCCGTATGTAATATCTTGCAAACGACACAACATTTATTAGGCTAGCCTCATGCGACAACCGACAGGTTCGACTTAGAAAATTGAGGGAGTTGATCCCGAATT